ATTTCATTAGTTAGGCTATTACCTCAGCAGAGGCATCAGCCTGGTCCCAACTGGAAAGTTTTTTGGGAGTTGCATTGGATGGAGTCTGATCAGCTGTCTGGTCCCATCGGCGCTTGCGTTTTGCGGCGGCTTGGGAGGCGGCGGACCCATTCACAGCTTTCAGTTCTCCTGATTTGGCCTTCTCTGCCAACTGCTGACGGATTTCTCTCTGTATTGACCATAACATGAAAACATTAGTATCATTTGTTACTAAACATTTGGCAACATTGTCAACATGCAACATTGATCTCACCTCTTCCTTAGACAGATTCTGTTCCCTCATGACGTCCACATAAGACCTGACCTGCATCTTGGGATCCGGTGTTTTGCCCCCTGTGCGAAAGAGCACCAAAAAAAACAAAAGATACAGATTACTATACACTTCATAAACTGCATACAACACTGCAAGCACAACACAGCCTGCCAATTCTGACTCATTTTAAGAGAATAATATAACATCAAGTTTTAAGTATTTTCATAAATACATTAAATACAGATTTACATACAGAAAATTCTAAGAAACAAGCAAATACATAGAAATGCTGATGTTGTGGTGCTTTCTTTAAGTTTTAGCCATCACTGATGCAGGGGTCCTGGGCTGTGCTCTTCAGAATACGTACACTTTCATTGCCAAGGGTCCTTCTGCAGTCAGACTTCAACCGGCAGAAAAGAAGCCTAGAAAATTTCTCTTTACCATTAGTAACACTTTGGAAAGGTTTCAACTCACACACAACAGTATACCACCAGTGTTTGCAATGTCTCATGGCACTATAATGCAAGTATGTTCTGGACAGAATCCTAAAACTAGGAAACCAAAGGGTCTGAGAACTAACTTAAATGAATATTCAAAGTCTGAACTTTGTGTCTTAAATGATAGCTCAAATGACCGAATATAATATTGAAAAATGTAATTACGGTGAACCCCTGACTGTCGTAACTTACATAGCTTACATTATCAAACTGTAGGTTACTATTGCAAAAAACAGAATGGTTCTTCTTTTAACGAATGAAATCAATATCAATGTTGGGGCACTTAAATTCAAAATAATTGTAAAAAAATTAATAAGTAAGGGCCTTGGGGGTGGTGGTTGTAGTTGAAGTTGCCCCTCGCTGGCCCCAGTCAAACATGCTGCCCTTGGACCCTGACCAAACTTAAAATGTACAGTTCTGTGCGTTTCCCAAAACCTACACAGGACGAGTTGCTGCACTCTTAACAGAGGGCAGTACAGGACTGGCAAAGCAGTACTGCTGTAGGAGAGAAATTAAGGACAGTTAGTATGGGCCTCTGGTATTGTGGTACAAAATTTTCTTGATAACATATTTCTATTTTACATAAAATGTTGTAAAATAAAAATACGTTGAGACAACAACGCTGTACAATGAGAGCTCTCTACATGCAATCTTACACCATAACTATCCTGTTCCTGCCAAGCTCACTATGTGAGAAGGGCAACCAAATAATTAAGTGGCTGCACTGTACTGCTGTAAAGTGATATAAATAATGACAAAGTCTTCCAATTGACCCTCATAAATTCAGATAATGAAATACAGTAACAATTTCAGAAGGCACAATATTCAACCTTTTCAGGTGTACAGTCCAGATTTATCTATTACAAAACGCATTTTCTCTAAAAATGGAAAAAAAGCGTTGCAACCTCTAACCTGACAAGTTATCATGGGCTGTTAACCCTTCAACCCACAAACAAGCCATATGCAACCTAAACCTATCTATCCCAAATGTCAAATAAATTCCCACCAAGCAGTTTTCAAAAAACAAAAACAAAACGGTGACCCAAAAAACAGACTGGGGGTAAAGCAGTAAGTCAGGAAGCAATGTGTTGAATTGCAGTTGAAGGGTTAAACAGTACTTTTAAGAAAGTGACACCATCAAGAGTCATGACAGGTTGTCACAATAATATGAAGTGTGAAAAAGGGGATAATGGGACCATGAAAAGACAATAGGAAAGTTAAATTTACCGTCAGCAAAGGGGTCGAGACGCTCAGGGGAGATGATCATCATCATGCGCCTGGTTTTGTAATCATCTTCTCGATCAGCTATTTTCTGTGGTCGATGCTCAGCAAAGGGGTCATACTGAACAAAACAAAAACAGAACAGAACTTAAAACCTTAAATCATTTTAAATATACAATAAATCTATCTATAAAGACAAGACAGAGTACAAGTAAAAGGCTACTCCAGACAAAGCTATTCAAGTCCATTGGAAAGGTTGGTGAAAAGTGTCAGCAGAACTTGGTTCAGTTATTTTGTCTGACAGTCAAATCATCCATACTAAGTTTAGATTTTTGTGCAAGTGGGAGGACACAAAGGGGCAAAAATAACATACCTGCTCATCTGACTGTGGGATGGCATTAAGAATGGCCACTGGTGCATGATAGCCTGGTTTCTTCGGTCCCAACAAACTTGTTGTTGTGTCGTCTTCGTCATCCTATGTGGCAGTAAGGTTGATTATATATTAATATTTTAAAAGACAAAACAATAACACGACAGAGAAGACTTTTACTTACTTCCTCTTGCTCATTGGCAGCGATAGATGTGACATATCCAGCAAACCGACTGTCGCTGCCACCGTAGATCTCCTGATCATAAAATCCAGTAGAATCGAGGCCGACCCCATTGTCTGCTCCTTCCTCTACCAGGGCAGCCTTCCGCCCCTGGATCTCGAGGATCTGAGCCTCTATGTCTGTAAAAGGAACATCCATTAGAACTTCAGTAAGTGGACAGCAGAAAACCTCAAATCTGGTCTACAACTGGCGCGACACCACAAAGGCCTAAACGTGTGCGAATGTGAAACGTTCGACTGACCTGACCAAAAACACGGAGATATGGAAAAACATGTAATTGTAATTTATGCGGGTTACATTTTAATTGTATAATTTCTGCATAAGATGAAATGCGACAGATGCAGCGTTGAAAACATTAACAAACACCAGTATCTATGAATCACACGCTTAGCCAAGAGGCTAAACGTTAGCATCCTGCGCCATTACCTAACCTCGCTATGTCGCACTAGCCGACAGGGCCTTTCATTATAACGATCAAAGAAAGTCCGTAATGCCAACAACAAATCCATCATCCACCAATACTATGGCTCTGTAATACACCAATAAATAAAACGACAAATGCACGACGTAGCCTGACTACTTATTTAGCATATTTAATTTACCTTCGTGAGTTTTGGCGATCTTCGCCATTTTGGTGTGTTGTGTTCGCCTCAGACACCGGAAATCGCTCTGCTCGTTTAGAGCTGCCTCTTCCGGCTGATTTGAGATGAGGTCACCAATGAGCAAGTAGACTAAAATCGCTAAATCTTGGGACATAACAACTTTTTTGGAATTTTGGTTCTCAAGAGAATAATTCATCGCAGAAGGTTAATCTAAAAGCAATCACTACATCCTCACTCACTAAACTCAGCATCTTCAGCCACTCATTAATCAGATCTAGTGCAGCCAATAGAGCTCAGAAACTCAACAGAATTCACTCTGAGCTTTCACATTAGTCATGGTCGTGGATCAGTATCAATATATAGTTCAATGGTCACGGCCTGTAAAACACTGGCAAGACATTTGATTTTTTTTTATCTCCTTGAGTGCATGCAGGTATAGCCTACCTTTAATGTTTTTTTAAGATTCACCTTCACCCACACACCTCCAGGTCAGTGTCTTCTAATTTTTGACGTTCATTTTGGTCTTTAAGTAATCACTTTGGAAGCACTTGATTTTTATAACCCAAATTATTAGGTTGTTTGTTTATGTTTAACTATTGCATTGGATGTGTAATCATACAGAAAGAAAGTATCATCCATCATTTATTCTTATTCTGTAGGCCTATTCCGCAATTTTGCTTTGCAGTTGAAAGTATTTTGGCTAGTACAACAAATGTGAAAACCATAAACATGGAATTATGTACTTTTTTTTAAACAATGTCTTTTTGAACAATGAATATAGGTCTAGGCCAGCCCATAATGCATGAGTCAGTCAGTAGGTGGTCCATCCTGTTTATTGTGTATGGGATGTGAGGTGTAAACCTTCACACCTCCCCCTTGCACACAGTTCACATTAGTTTGCAGCATTTGAATGGGTGCATGGGACAAGGGCAATGCAACTGATATCAAGTTTGTACTTCAATACTATGCAAATCGACAAACTATACACCGTCAATGCTTTTTTGTGTTCATAATGGGTTGCTTAATTAGCAGCAGTGGGATAAATTATGTTGAAAAAAATTTGATTTACTCAGAAGGTGTAAGCTACAGGCTACTTTGAGTACTTAACTTTTCTAATACTTTCTATTACATCAAGTAATATTTTCTTCACAATAATGGTAGGCTCTACTTAAAGTAAAGTTTTGCTTAGCTATACTTTTCCCACTGTGAAACAAGTAACATATTGACAACATTTATCTTTCTTTAATCTACTTTTTGTTTATTCTAAAGTCTGCATTATTTAATCGCCTATTTAATCTGCCTGATTAGATTTAAGGCTTAGTATTTTTTATATCCTCGTTTTTCACTCTTAGCCTACTTTTTTCTATTAATTTTTCTTTTCATCAAAGTTGTTTGAGCTCAAGTTTTAGCTACCTATCTCGAAGCAGGCCGGTCTGCATGAACATTTCATAAAACTCAAATCCAATCCTGCAGAAATAATCGTCATACATCAATCACAATGATCCTCAGTTATGTTTGCAAGAATGTGCATGCAATGCGATGCTCAGAACTGCTGGGGTTACACATAGGACACACGTGTAATCATTGGCTGTACAGTCTATCTATGCTGTGGCCCTGTAGCCTGGTTAGAACTGGAGCAAGTCCCGTGACATTTTTGCGCGTCCACGAGCGTGCACGCGCGCCCTGGAACGTCAGCAATTTACAATGATGAACTTCAATAGCAGCCAATCGCAGCCCAAAGTGAATGAGCGGAAGCCAATCAGGATCAAGGATTAAGTGGCGTGGGCGGGACATGCCGCTGTGGCTTGTCAACCTCCAGGATCAGGCAGAAGCGATTGAAGAAAATCGTGAAAGAGAAGTAAAGATGGCCAGAGGTGGTCGCAGCCTTCGTAGAGTTGCTGAGTGCATAAAACAGTTGTCTGCAAGTCGAGAATTAACGTCGAGGAACAATTTAAGGTAAGTCCCGTAAACTTTTACTATGGAACTGAGCCATAAATTGTCGTCAGAGCGACACTCCTTACTCAACTAAAGCCAACGCGTACATATTGATCGATCGCGGATGGTTTTTTGTTGCGTGAAAAGTCTCTTCTTGGGCGATTAACTTACTTTTATCGTGTACAGTCAGTAGCACCTCAAAGGTAGCGTTTTAGAACAAAAACATATTGAACATATAACAAGTTTTAGTAACACAAAACGAGAGCGTTATCCGGTCATTAGCATATCTACAACCACGCAGAGATGCTTTCGCTTTCAGAAATCTTCACACAAGCTTGTTTCAGTCTTGCTCGATCTCTTTATTAACATAACAATGTTTTTAGTCTGGGCCCTCTCTGTCTGGGCTCAGGTGCAAATTAGATCTTAACAAATGGTGATGGCGGAAATAGCTTAAGGCTCTCACTGAGTTACAGTAATTAAATGCTTTACTACGTAACGGTGTTTGTTTTAACGTGCACCTCCTCTATTAAACAGCGTAACTTAACCTAACACAAAGTTTAGCTTCCCTATGCTATCTGCTATCAGGTTCAGGAAATAATCTAACTTGCGTGCTACTATACAAGCAAAATACTTTTTTTTTGTTTTGTTTCAACACCAACTCTTCCAGAGTAGTATTTATAACTTCGCTCTTATGATGCGCTGGCATTGTGTTTCTGAGGAACATCTGTTGCAGCTGCATGTGCTTAAACTCTATAGATTAGATATCAGTCGATACTGTGGTGTAATCTAACAATCATTTACACACTCTCCAACTCTAAACAGGCATTTTTTCATCTGTCTCCATATCAAAGTCTTTGTCACTGTAGGCTACTTGTCATAATGACAGAGCACAATAGTCTTCATCTGATTTACTACACTTTGCTATTTCCCAACCACATCTCATGTGTCTGCAGTCGGAGGTCACTGTCATGTGTCAAATGTGTCACATTTCAGGTCCTCGAGAGCTAAAAAGTAGGGCTCTAGTGGAACAAGAGCTTACAATCAAGGGAAGAATAAGCCTCCTGAATTGTGATACTGTGACATAAGCAAGCTTGGGTATCTGTAGTATCTGATATTATAGACCCAAGCTCCTCAAATAGGCTACTCTGGGACAGGACCAGATGATCGCTGTAAACACGGTGCACTCTGCACACATGCCTGGCAGGGGCCACCAACTATTCAAAGAATACAGTATTTAAGAAGTGAAGCTAATTTTAGGTCACTTGAGATGAATGCAGACCACTTGAAGAGTTTACCCAACAAACCTACTGTGGCTACACTGTAAACACTCTCTATTCATTGGTTTAATGTCTATCAACACAGCTCCGGCTATTTAGAACAGGTTTTTCAAAAACTTAACATTTTAAGTCAATGGGGCTTAGATGCTTGAACTGTGGGATCTCTTTTAGGTGGCATGAATGCACGTCTAACTGCAATTCATCTGATGCAGCCACTGTTTGCCTATGTTCATACCCCTTGTCTTTGTATCTTGGTTCTGGTCCAGATATCTGTCATCATGCGGGATCCTTATGACGCGTGTCCCTCCTCTGCTGAATGCAGCCGTAAACCATCAGCCTGTGTCACCTGCACGCAGCTTCTTCAACCTGGCAGACTCCTTCTCCAAGAAGAAAGAGTACTCAGAAAGGCGCATCATTGGGTGAGTCTACTTGCAGCACTTCAGAATTTTAAATCACTTTGTGATGTGGCCCTGGTCTCAGTCGATTATAACTCCCTGATGGGGTTAGAACAGGGATCTCCAACCTGTAGCTCTCCATCCCCATCTAAGTAGCTTGCCAAAGAATTTCTGAATTATGTGTATTGTGCTCATTACTAAAATTGGATTAATTACCATTGTAAAAGTGTCATTTGATGCCTAACTTGTACACTAATAAATGGATAACAGTTTATGATTAATAGGCATCTAACTGTACATTGAGTGTAAAAATATCAAAATGTTGATATATTGTATTGTTTAATGTGATGATACAGTATGAATATATCTCCAATTTTGTTTTATCGAATAGGTTTGAAATATATCATACCAAATCATATGCTCACTGTATCGATGTATGTATCGTATGGGCAACTTCTGAATGATTCTCAACCCTATCCAAGGCATAGCTCTTCTACTTTCTCAATTTCTGGCAACCGCTAAAATGAGTAGCTCTCTGCCATTTCCGTTTATAAAGGTAGCTCACCAGAGGAAAAAGGTTAGACACCCTTGGGTTAGAAGTTCATATTTCCCCTTCTCACTATCCCTTTTGAAAACAGGAGAGACTCCACTTTAAGGGCATCCCTTACAGGCCATGCCCAAGCTGGTGTGTGACGCATTAAATGCCCCTGGGTGTTCTGTAGAGAGGTCATAATCACCAAATCTCTTTGTATAAATAGACGCAAGTCCCAGCCCTGGTGAGGCACTTGCATATCAGTGGAGTACATGGGACACTCTGCATCGATTACTTTTCTCCTGTTTGTGTTTTTATTTCACCTATTTTAGTTTCTATACTTATTATCACTCTGACCTACTTTAGCTGTTTCTGGGTTATATACGCTATGCCCTTTGGTTTAACTGTTATGCAACATGCTTCCTGCTGGTGACACTTACAGCTGCCTGTCCTGCAGGTATTCTATGCAGGAGATCTATGATGTGGTGGCGGGAGTGGAAAACTATCGTCTGTTTGTGCCCTGGTGTAAAAAGTCAGACGTGATATTCAGACGAGCAGGGTTCTGCAAGGCCAAGCTTACTGTGGGCTTCCCCCCAGTGGTGGAGAACTACACCTCTCTAGTCTCATCAGTGCGCCCCCACCTGGTCAAGGTATGCTCAGAATGCAAACTCTCATGACTGTAAAACTCCTCTTCACTGTAAAACAAAACAAAACAAATTTTTTTTGCTGTTGTTTTTCATCAGGCTTCCTGCTCAGAGGGTAAACTGTTCAACCATTTGGAGACAGAGTGGCGCTTTAGTCCTGGGCTTCCTGGCTACCCTCGCACCTGTACTGTAGATTTCTCTGTAAGTATTATTATTTAGGCTTGCTACATTTTACATTTCCCAGTTTTTTAATGGGGAAAGAAGATAAAAAAGATGATGTTGTTTTTTCTGCCTATCATATGACTGTCTGTGTCTCTCCTAGATTTCCTTTGAGTTCCGCTCCTTGCTGCACTCACAGCTGGCCCACATGTTTTTTGATGAAGTGGTGAAGCAGATGGTATCAGCGTTTGAACATCGCGCATCTCAAGTCTTTGGTGCAGAGACACCCATCCCTCGTGAGCTCATGTTTCATGAGGTGCACCACACGTAGCATCATCACAACTGTACGCCTGAACCTGATGCCTAAAGCTGACATCCAAATATTTGCAATGGGAGGTTTGAGTGGAAAAACTCAACCATCACAATTTAATCTGCAGTGCCTGTCTCACAATAAAGACCAACTCCCGAAAGACAATCTTTTGCCAAATTTCACTTTGGTGCTTTACATGCCAGATCCTTTAAATTTTTATTTATTTTTAGTCTGTGCATAGAAATTGTTATTAAATGTGGAACTGATTTAGATTTTATGGTGCCCACTTTTATTTGTAAGTGGTATACAGACTCCATGGCTCACTATGCTGCTCTAACTATTTTCTTCCACCACTACTGTGCAACTTATGTGTTCACCAGTAAGAAACATTGTTCTAGTTTTTTGATGCACACATTTCAGTAAAACTGTGATCACAACTCACAAGGGATAAGGCTAGATAGAACTTCATGTAAAATACACAATTTGTTTTTTAACTTCATTAGATGTTGATTACACAAAAGTGACAATATTTGGGAGCAGTAAAACTCCATGGGTTTATACTTGGACTCTGGAGTTGACTTCTCAGGGACTGTTTGTGACTGTGCACTTTGTTATTTCTTTGTTTTGTATACAAGGGCTTAAACTAATGTACAGTCATCTGGAATTTTTTAGAAGCATTTTACAAAAAAGCGCCAATAAATAGTGGTTATAGCAGCATAGTAAGTTGTTGGACATGGTCAAAGGGTTAAACATATCTTAACTGGCATTATCTAACTTTAGCATTATACCTTCTGTCTAAAAAACACAACTGCCAAGTCATTTCTAAATGGAGCCATGTTTAAGTTTGTATTAGTCATGAGGGTAGAAAGACTAATTTAACCATAACTCATCAAGTCTTCCATTAGCACCTTAAAACTGTTTCAAATCAATGTGCGCACGTCCTGGGGGCAATGATAGATTTCAGCTGTGACCACAGACCCTAATATGTTGCTATACATACAAAATATAACAAATTGTACAAATTCATACAATTTATAGTATACAAAAATGGACACTGGCAGTGGTTACAAGCTCACCAAAATCTGTTAAATATTTGATTTGTAGACTTTTAACATCTTCAACATGCATGTGAGTAATCAGAGGGACCATGATCAGAAAGAAATCAGAAGATTTAGCTCTTTACATTTCAATTTAATAATAAAAATTGGATAATTTGATTTTGAGTGTGCTTGTTACTGTAGCCTCTGTGCCACAGGAATAATTTAAGAATTAAGATGGATTTTTCAATATTACAGCATAATGAAAAAGACTGCAGATAGATCAGTGCACTAGATGTACTGTATTCAGAAGTGGCCGATGGTTTTGCTTGTGGGGAAAGTATTTTTCATGTTACACACTATGCTCTCAAAGGAGAATATCTTAATGGGAGCCTAATATGGGCCGACTGTTTGCTAAATTATTGTTTTTATTTTTTGACTATTTTTTTGAGTGCAATATCTACAAGTGTTTTTTTATTTTTTTAACTGCATTTCAGCAACCAGCAGTTGACAGGACCCAGAGTAGTCTGTTCCTAAAAGCATAATTCCAGTGAATCAACTTTCTGACTCAAAGTGCCTTGTTAGCCTGCTGGCAGCATATCTTCTCAATATAAATATGTATGCTTTTTATATTTATTAGTTTAGGTGATGAGTAGATCGATTACACATTTGACAGCTTTTAGAAGATTTCAGAGTATTTCTGTGTGTCTATTGGGAAATATTTGTCTGTAAATGATGTGTTGAGACTTCAGAAATGTATGACTGCATGATTTATAAAGACATTTAAAAAAAAAAAATTACCCTTTTCCTGTGCTTTTTATGATACATTCATTGTATAATATAGAAGCAAGAATCGGTTGGTTGGTCAGTAAATCACCTGCTTTGAGAGTGACACCGAACAAAGTCAAAGGATAATTTAATGGTGAAACTAAACCAGTATTTCTTAGTTTACCTCATTACTTTGAATATAACAAGATATATTCTGTAAACTACAAAAGAATAACATGCCAATTTTTCACCTTTTTTTTTCTGTAAGCATACATCTGCCATTAAATCCAAAGACTCCATTGTCACTTGCCTCATGGTTGACAGTTTCCTATTGACTTTACAACTGACTTGTTGACTTTGTAACTGCTGAAGTGAGCCTCATTATTTTGGTTGTTCATATTAACACCAGAATCATGTGGAACAGATTTTTATTTTTGCCATTTTAAATAAATTCCTGTTCCAAATATGAAACTCTGCTCCAAATTTGCCTCTATAACCACTAGTATCATGAGCTGCATTTGGCTAGACAAACAGACTGTATCTTTACAGTTAAAACTTGAGCATTGTTGTCCCATTAAATAAAGGATTGGGGGGAAAAACCTTAGTAACAAAATTGATTTAATCAATTACATGACAGATTTTGTACCAATAAGTATCAGACAAAACCATAACAAATATAAAAAGGAAATAATTAAACACATGAAAAACAAAAGTTAAGGAAACAGACTCATTTGACTTTTCATCTCACTTTGCAGTAATAAACAGCATAATCAATAGATTCACAATGTTAGAGGATAAGTGATCATGTCGTTGTAATGTCAACATATATCCATTTATTTTACTGTGAGCAATGAAGTGTTCATATGTTGTAATGTCACTTGCCCAAGCCACTAGAGATTTGTGGAGGGATGTTGTGATGCTATGGAGATAATCCTTCCAGTTTTTTACTATACTTATGAACCAAAAAAAAACATGATTCGATAAACTCCAGCTTCCACAGTCAGACAGTCAATAATGGCAGATTTGGGCAAACATGGGTGAGCAGGTTCTTGCAGGATTGTATCCTACCACTGTCACCGCTCTGTCCATTAGTCCATTCAACCGGTCACAGGTCTTCTTAGAAACCCATACCACCTCCCATGCCCCCCATGCCCCCCATGCCTCCCATACCACCAGGCATCTCCTTCTCCTCTTTAGGGATCTCTGTAACGACGGCCTCAGCTGTGGAGAGGAGTGACGCTACTCCAGCAGCATCCAATAATGCTGTTCTTACAACCTGTTCATATAAAAAAAGACAATATTAATAAAACAATGACATTTCACAATAGAAATAAGAATATAATCACTTAAAAAAAAAAGATCTACTTAATTTTTTATAATGTAAATATATTACTTTACACATTTTATATTATATATATATTAATATATATCTATCTATATCTAGCTATCTATATCTATCTATATCTATCTATATATCTATCTATCTATCTAAAAATAAAGCTTACAAAAGTTATTATGCATGTAGAAATATTCAGACATTGAAAATATCCCTCCCTATTCCATCTAATGTATATTGCTGTTGGATGTACTGTACCTTAGTGGGGTCAATGATGCCCTTCTCCACCATATTGACATATTCTCCCTGTAGCGCATCGTAGCCAATCTCATGTGGTCCCTGCAGGATTTTCTCTACAACTAAAGAGCCCTCTACTCCTGCGTTCTTGGCAATGGTCATGGCAGGAATACGAAGTGCTCGCTTAATAATGTCCACACCTAGACAGAAATAAATAAAGTTAAAGTAAGAGAAAATTATTGATTGAGAAATGGTAGTTCATCTATAACTAACCTATCTGCTGGTCAGAGTTGGCAGTTTTTAAGCCCTCTAGTGATGGGATGCAGCGTAGCAGTGCACAGCCTCCTCCAGGAACAATGCCCTCCTCCACAGCAGCTCGTGTGGCATTCAGCGCATCTGTCACACGGTCCTTCTTCTCATTCACCTCCACATCACTAGTTCCTCCAATCTAAAAATAAAAAAAATAAAATACAGCTTTATTATGCAACTTCTTGGCCAATTAGAATCAACTGTACAATTATAAAAATTATAAAAGAAACAGACCTTTAGCACAGCCACACCATCAGACAGTTTGGCAAGTCTCTCGTTGAGTTTCTCCTTTTCATAGTCACTGGTGGTGCTTTCCAACTGCTCTACAATTTCTGCTGCGCGCTTCTCAACATCAGCTGGGTTGCCTCCTCCCCTCAGCAGCAGGGTGTCATCCTTTGTAATTTGTACCTCACCAACTTTGCCAAAGTCATGAGGCTGAATGTCTTCAAGAGCCAAGCCAATAGCCTCATCTCCAAATACCTACAAATATTAAAATATCCTCTTAACTATTTTGCATGAATAAGTATACATATTGCTTTTCAGTTGTACATTAAATGCACAGCCCAATAATGGTAGTCTAATGCAGTGATTCTCAACTAGTGTGCCGTGAGAGATCGTCAGGTGTGCCGTGAGAAATTATCCAATATCACTTTTTTTAAAAATAAAAATGTATTAATTATTACCTGCAAATATTATGTCATTGTCGAGTGTCCGTGCTGTAGTACAGTGTAGTATATAATTACTGGCAGAGTGATCTAATATTCGTCCGGGTGGCGACAGGCAGCTAATTGCCTCGTTCCTTTAAAACAGGGGTGCTCAATACGTCGATCGCGATCTACCAGTCGATCGCCAAGGTCGTGTGGGTAGATCGCCGTGTCTCGTCTCGGACTCGCGTTTGGACTCGGTCTTGTCTCTCACTTAAGGTCTGACACTCAACAAGTGCGATCATATTTCATTACGGCCGCTGCTGTTGGTAATAAACTTGTACAGGTGTGCCAGAGCGTGTGGGGCGTCTCAGTGCAGCCCGCGGAGACTCTACGGCACATCACAAATACACACGCTCCCTACGCACAGCTCGTCTGCGACAGCGTGTGCCCTCGTGTACCAGCGTGCATCACAGGGCAGATTAAACTTCCTAAATATCCTACCTGTCCATCTGCCTCACGTCAGCACGCCGCCCCTCGCCTTTTCACGCTCTCGCTCCTTCCTGCGTACAGCGAACACAAGCCCCTCCCACAGTGCGCGCTGATTAGAAGAACAAGACCAAACGTGGAGCAAAAACGAGTCTAAATTTGTGTTACAGTGTTGGCACAAAGCAGGTCTACAGCATAGAGCAGATCTACAGAACAGACCTACTGCCACATTTGGCTGAAGTTTGCCTAACAAAAGTGCACAAATGCATCTGTGTTTGTCACGATGTGCGTTTGGTTTGATAAACGTGCAGAGGCTGGTAAATATCACTGCAAAACCAGAAAAGAATGTAACTCCAATTTGGAACTTTAAAAAACAGGTTTAAAAATCTTCCTTCACTTTTTTCACAGTTTTGTGTAAAGTGCCAGAGGAAGTTCTCTTAAAGAAGTGGTTCTCAAACTGTGGGTGAGGGTCCAAAAAAGGGGCACAGAGTGTTTCAGTGCAGTTTGTTTGGCTTTGTATTAGGTAGATCTTTATGACTTGGTCATTTTGTAAGTAGATCGCATGCTGAAAAAGTGTGAGCACCCCTGCTTTAAAAGAATTAGTAACGCATGTGCGCGGTGACAGTCATGGAAAAGTTTTTAAAATGGACGAATGCGAACTCCGAAATGGGCCCTGCACAAGATTCTGACCCAGAAGAAGAGCTTTACAAGCTTAACTGCTATAAAACTAAAAACAGAGAGAGACTGAGAGCTGTTGATGAAGAGCTTCGTGTGTGTCTTTCTTCTATTCCTGCCAGGATATCAGCTTTGTGTTCATCTAAACAGGCGCAGGTCTCACACTGAGTAAGTAGAAATTAATGTAGAAATTATATTGTAATTAAATATACTATATAGTGTCATTTTTGTAACATTTTGGTTAGTGGTGTGCCGCAAGATTTTTCCAATTTAAAAAACGTGCCGTGGCTCAAAAAAGGTTGAGAAACACTGGTCTAATGCACAATTATATAGAGTGAACTTACAGTGCCTCCAGTGGCGATGGCCATGTCTCTCAGCTGATTTTTTCTGTTGTCACCAAATCCAGGGGCCTTTACTGCTACTACCTGCAGCCCAACTTTGAGCCTGAATGTAATTCATGGTACACCAGTCAGCAGATAATTATTTAACTCACCATCTAATAAAATAACAGTTAAATACCATTAATATATGTGTTATACCTGTTGAGAACCAGTGTGCTGAGGGCCTCGCCATCGACGTCTTCTGCCACAATGACCAAAGGTTTGCGGTGTTGATTGGCAATTTCCAAAGCTGGCACAATGCTCTGGACACTCGAAATTTTCTTCTCACTCAGCAACAAGTAGGCATCTTGAAACTCACATTTCTGACCTATAGGAACATAAATAAAATGTCAAAAAGTACAAACTTTAAAGTTTCACTGAACACTGAGCAAGTCGGTTTACCTTTGGCAGTGTTGATAAAATAAGGCGATATGTAACCACGGTCAAACTTCATGCCCTCAATTATTTCCAACTCATCGTGAAGAGTTTTTCCATCCTGAAAACAAGCATTGAGAACATAAATGCATGAAATGTTGTGGCAGAATAAAACAATAAATAATTTTCAACCAACCTTGACAGTAATTACTCCTTTGCGACCCACTTTTTTCATGGCATTAGAAATTATGTTACCAATTTCCACATCCCCATTGGCGGAAATGGTAGCCACCTAAAAGATTCAAAATGGACAAAATGTTTATGTTCAAAGTTATATTAGTTATAGTACTGCTACAAAAGGCATACCTGTGCAATCTCCTCTGGTGTTGTGACCGGTTTGGAGAGCTTTTTCAGCTCATTTATAACAGTCTCCACGGCCATCATCACCCCGCGACGGATTTCCACAGGGTTGGCACCTTTACTGATGGTATCGAAGCCCTCTTTGGCGATGGCTCGAGCCAACACTGTTGCAGTGGTCGTGCCATCTCCTGCCTCTTCATTGGTGTTATTGGCTACATCCTGAACCAGCTTGGCCCCAATGTTTTTGTACTTGTCCTTCAGATCAATGGCTTTAGCTACCGTTACACCATCCTTTGTGACCTTAGGGCTGCCCCAGGACTGTTCAATGATGACAGTGCGACCCTGAAACAGATTGAAACGAAACGATGAGAAACAGTGAGCAAATGATTCAATACTGATAATGTAATGAAATTAAAACACTTACCTTTGGACCCATAGTAACAGCCACAGTATCAGCCAGCAGATCTACTCCCTGCAGCATAAGTGCTCGGGCATCTGCCCCAAACTTGACATCCTTTGCATAGGCTCTTGTGAGGTGAGGTGCCAGCGCCCTGCACACTGGTCTGACCTGCTTCATGACTGTGGGTAAACGGAACATCTGCAAAAGACAAATAACATATTGCTTAATACTTAATAACTTC